TGAAAGACGAATAACGACATCCTTGGATCCTTCAGCATCATAATCCAATACGGTTGGGGTAACTTCAACATGGCTCGGTAATTTGGAACAGTCTGACCTCTCAAATAAAATCTTCTGTTTCCCAGCCAGCGCATAATCACTAACCTCTCCTGACACGCAGATAGACTTATTAGGACCAAGAACCATTGACCTCTGCTCTGAGCATTTCATCAATCCAACCTTACCATATAACTTCTGCTCCTGAAGACGCATACATCTAAACGTCATTTTCCATGCCTCAGGTAAACCTGTTGACATTGAATAATCTTTACCATGTTTCTGAACAACATTATTCAATACAACACGGAGAATATTTGTTCCTATAAGTGCTGGTGTGGTACGATTATAAGGAGTGTTACTGTTGTTAAATAGTTAGTGGTCTCATTCCCTGTTTGTTTGTCAGAGTTAACAGGAGTGCCTGGTTTGACCTAGGAGTACTTATTGTTTACCTTATATTATATAGTTTATGCGTGGTTTTTCTTGCATAGCCAGCCACATACCTCAGAATTTATCTGTATATGAATTATGCAAATTAATCTAGGTTTTATCCATGTTCTTAAAATGCATCCATCAGCCTTTAAATAATAGTCAAAGTATTAAGGATTACTCAGCACATGGTTGGTGAGTTGCGAGCATAGTGGCGGACATGTTGTAGTTAATTACCCCTGTAAACTCATAGAGTTTTTACGTCTGAATTGAGTCTGAATTGAGTATGAAAAGAGCCGAAAATGATCTATGAAACTTAAGTAATTTTCTTCTCTGTAAAATGTCAATATAAACATTCAATTACATTCAGTCAGTAAACTAATATAAAACCTATGATGATTCTCCTGTTTTAAAAGTCAAGCCTCAAGTGATGGTGGTCAACAGAATTCGGAAAGGTCTAGCCCAGTCAGCCATGCCTGCCCTACTGCCATGCGCCTAGTTAAGCTCAGTGCACGACGTGCGATGTGTCGTGCACGGCAGCTATAAGGAGTGTCTGGTACAACTAAAAATAAACAAGGCACTTCAGCACATTTAAAACTAGGTATTCCAAGTGAAATACATACATATCCTAGATACGGCAACCGATGACCACCGGCACCTTCTATATGTATAATCTGCTCCAATGGTAAAATGTTACACTCCTCATTATGTAAAACATCTTTATAAAATGACTCACTGATTGTCGAAACTGTAGACCCAGTATCTAACAAACCAGAACAGACATTACCATTTACTATTACAGCCGTCTCATTACTATTTCCTATAATATCCATGGGACTGGATAAAAGAATGTCTACTGATTGTCCCTCATCAGTGACATTTAACGGTTTAAATTATGTTGATCCTTTTGTGGCAGTGGCATCCTGCACCCACGAGCTACATGCCCTATCTGACCGCAACGATAACAAGTTATAGCATACCTTGACCTACCCAAAGGCAGCTGAGGAATTCCTTGATCTTTATCAGCCTTAATTGACCCGACTTCTTTCTGCAAAGCTTGAACACTTGCAGTAATGACACCATAGCCTTCAACTCGTCGTCCTGTACCGTTTGAGCCATCTTAGTTATGCCTCTAGCACTATTACTCTTAGATCCTATCAAAGGAATACAGTCATGTTCTATCCTTCTAACTTCTTTGAGAAGATCTTCAAAGTTTGTCAACCGATCAAACTTATGTGCTGACTTATCCTTTAAGTCACTCCTCAAACCGCTCCAAAACTTCGTCCTAAGTTTGGCATCAAATGTTTTACTTTCCACCTGTCGAGTAAATCTTCTAACCGGCAAGCCGACTTTGACACCGTCTCGTCGGGAGCTTGAGTGGTGGAATAAAACTGCGACAAAAGACTCTACCCTTGTTCCACAATACCAAACCTGCTTTGCAGTTTCACCAACAACTTATCAACAGTAACATCCTGGCCTAATCTCATAGCTACTCTTGCAGCTTCTCCACCCAACGCCTTTAAAACAGATAATTTCACAGAGTCTTTGCTATGTAAACCATCTTTCATAAGGCTTAAAACCTCAAACTTCCATAAGTCGAATGAAGTATCTTCTTTACAACCAGGATCACCGGAGAATGTTGATATTCTTGGCACTTGAGGTATAAACTTAAATTTATCTGTTGCTGAACTGGGCTGTTCTTCTTCAACCTTAGGCTGATATTCTACCCCATCATCTTGACGTGCTGATTGATCTGCCATCCCAAAACTTTCATCCATCGGCGGAATTCTACATTGAGATTTCAAATAATCAAACATCCATTCTATAAAATCCTCGGATGATTCAAGCTTCGGTTTTACATCTAAATTAGAGAACATGTCTAACAAATGCTTCTCCTCCTCTGAGGAGAACTCTGATCTGCCACCACCAGTCGCCATTATAGCATAAAAGACAAACAAAACAACAAATGAATGAATTAATGTTAACAAGCGTTTATGTATCATTCAAATATTCCCGTAAAGAAAATATAGATGTGGCACAAATCCACAAAATGAATGATTGACGTACGGACGGATTAGATAACCTAAAACATAAATAAGTTTGTACCATATAAGCATAAACATATATATAATTCTATTCTAGATACAAATGCTGAAATAGAATAAATAATATTTCTATACCGTATCAATTATATTGTAAATACAAATGCTGAAATAGAACATATATTCTCCCATATACTGTATTACGTCACAACATAAAGTCATAAAATGTGAGTGCAGTGATCAATCGTGAAAACAGCTTATACGTTGACCTAATTTCAGAGTACTAAAAAACTAAACCTGAAAATGAAAAATGAACTTTCCTAAAGAAAAAAAACCGAATTCCATTTTGAGTAATGCACAAACTCAAAACCAAAATACCCAACGAATAAATTCAAAATCGACAAACTACTAACATACCAATCAAAGCATCCAAAATACCTGAACCATAAAATTCCAAAGTCCAACAATCAACTTTGAAAGTCCAACAAACACCAAAATACATCAACTTCCAAAACTATCAACCTGGGCCAATATAATGTATAAGTGTATATGATGAATGTAATATCAATTGTAAAATGTATGTTGTTATGTAAAGTGTCACTGAAAACTATCTAAATATCTTTGCTATATATAGAATGTATTAGTCATATCATAGTAAAACCATAACAAAAACAAAAAATTGTTTATAAATCTATCTAAAATCTCAGCTTAAGCTATGACAGTAATATTTTATACAAAAATTTTTTTTAAATAATCTAAATCGATGATTATCTTAAAATAAAAAAAAAATAAAAATAAGGGTTGTTGGAGTGGTAGTTGGGGTGGGGTGGGGTTTGAATTAACAAAAGAAAACAAAAATGTTTCCAATTTAAAGTAGCTAAGTCTCTAACTCAGTATCATCAAAAAATTTCGACATTGAAAACACGAATTATTTGTCAATTCAAATCAACATTGGTCTTGTGATCTTACAGGGAAAAGATGGACTTCTGATATCCAATATTCAAGACAAAATAAACATTTTACCATTGGTACACGAATCGTGTACCATAATGCATTTCAGCGCCATTTAGAATAAGGAACTCAAAGAACAGGGCTAGACATATTCCACAAGTCATGTCAAATGGTGAAGCTATATTCTTATCTCGAGAGCATGCGCAATAAATACCATCGGTTTAGACTGGAAAAACCAGACGCTAAAGATTGCCATTCACATGAGACTTCTGGCCTATTTCGCCGAACATAACTGATTAGAAATTACAGTAACGATTGAATGTAAATCAGTTTATATACATTCATATTACATTATTATATGCTTTGCGACCCATTTTTGTCAATTTCTAGGTCCCAAATATTAGCGATTTAGCTCCTTTAAGTCACTGCTGTGAAGACTAAAGGGAGACAACTTAAAGTACAAAAATCTGAAATGGAGGCAGACCACCATTAATTTCCCCATTGACTTCAATGTTAATTCTGGCCTCTTTGCCCACCTCCAACTTTTCCCAAAATTTTCGTTTGGCTGAATGCTTTTCTCTACAGACAGAGGAACAAATGGTCATGTCCTTGCACTAAAATTTGTATGAGGTTGACCACCAAAATTTTGAGATACACAAACTTGAAGAAGCATACTAAAAACATGTAACTAGTTGCCGTACATATCGCCGTAGCTAACCTGATAACCCTCTTATCCTTCCGCCTCAAAATCATGAATATTTACCAAAACCTGGCAGAAAATGTTAATTCAAACCCTCTTCGTCCATTCTAGACCAAAAAATCAACAAAAATGGGCATGCAAAAGGGGAGAAAAGAGAGAATTGCTATAAATAGACGAACTACAATTCGTGGGTACCGAGATGGTGAAATTTAATGGTGGTCTGCCTCCTATATGGTTTTATAAGTTCATATATCATCAAAATTCTTTTCTTTATAGCTTCACATTTATTTTTGCAACATTATTATAATACAGAATCAGAAAAAAATAATTACTGCAGAAATGGGCCTTTTGTTCTAGAATTGAAGATTCTTTCTTAATTTTGTCGAAATGTGAGTTCTGCGAAAAGATTTAAAGAGTTTCAAACAAGTCACATCAAAAATATTCAAAATATTGGAATATTTTTCAAAAATTGACTTTCTTTTACCTTTTTCTTCAAAATGGTCCATTTTTGACACTTTGTATGCCTCAAAATGCTAATATTTCCCTATTTCTGGGAAAGTCTGAGATGAAAAGCATTTATTTCTAGAAACCTTGGCCGGTATACAGGAAGACAAGCTGCAAATTTGTTGCATTGAAGGTAACTGTAAGGAACTATAGTGAAACCTGTAAGCCCACCCCCTAAAAATGTTGGTGTGGTAACAAATCCCACTTGTGTCCACATAAGTAATACTGTTGATGGAATATCGCTAAAAGCCATGTTCTTCTATCCCTGGCTTATATACATACATATAAACACAGTTTGTTATAAGAAGTATGAATTATTTATTAAAATATGGATTGATAAATGTAAAATAAATGCTGTATTTAGGTGACAACCAGCCACTCTAATAAAAGGGTCGCAAAGCACTATTTTTTTCTAAAAAATGGGAATATTTCAGTTTTTAAAATACTTTAACAATCAGAGGTATCCTTGAAATTACACAGTGTAAATATTATGTGGAAGCAAGTTATTTTGATCTTTACATCAATGTCCTGACAAAATGAGATGGAAAAAGGGAGTTCTGACATAATTCAAAGCATAAAAGGGGTATGAAAAGGCTATTAATTAATATTTTATAGCCCTGTAAGTGCCACATTTTAAAAGATCACCACAAATAATTGATTTACATTCAAAATGTAAAACATTAAGCTGCAAAAAACACATCTACAACATATCCATTTTGGGGTGTGGACTCATTTGGAAGAAATGTCATAGGATTACATGTTTGACCATAAACAAAAAGTCTTAGAAATCCTTGAAATCTTATATGTAACTATTTGTTTGTGTCAAATAAAATGCTCGGTTACAATTCAAGCACAAAATCAAATTACTGCTAATTTGGAGTCAACAAATGTTCAATTGAATATCCAAATATCATCTTCAAGAAAAGGGGTGGGGTGGGGAGGGTAAGCCATTCTAAATGAAATGAAGACAGAGAAATTTCCCTGCAAACACATAGATTTTACCTTCTCGAGAAGGGAAATGCAACAATTTCAGGTTTTGAAAGATTAAAATTATGTTAAGCCTGAGGAAAACAGCAGCAAAATGCAGTTCACTCATGTTTTGAAAATTCTAACACACCTAAGCAGAACATAATTAGACTAAATTTCTTAATTTTTAAATTTTTGACAAACACATGAATACTTTTTCAATATCTGACAAACACATGGATCCTTGCCAAGTTATTTAACAATGAAAATAAAGACATGCAAGACATTTTGGTTCATTTTACAACAGATGAATAATTAATATTTTGACAGCAATACTGGGGGTAATCTGAAGAATTTCAGACAATTTATCATGATTTTTAGGCAAAATTGAGGGAAATTATGATACTTTCTTCCCGTCTAACCTTTATAATGCAGAAAAAGTAAAAATCATACATTAAAATATTTCCCACTAATTTTGAAAAGTAAATAAACACTGAAAATCACAAAATTTTGACTAAAATCAAAACTTCCCCTCCCAAATTTGTCAAATATTTTTGAAATTTTACCATTTCACATTTTTTACTATCAAAATGCCATATATCACATTTTCTGACAATTTGGAGATCATATCATCAAATTTAGGCCTTTCATCCACTGTCAGGTTGTTTTCATATAGGAGGCAGACCACCATTAATTTCCCCATTGACTTCAATGTTAATTCTGGCCTCTTTGCCCACCTCCAACTTTTCCCCAAATTTTCGTTGGGTTGAATGCTTTTCACTACAGACAGAGGAACAAATGGTCATGTCCTTGCACTAAAATTTGTATGAGGTTGACCACCAAAATTTTGAGATACACAAACTTGAAGAAGCATACTAAAAACATGTAACTACTTGCCGTACATATCGCCATAGCTAACCTGATAACCCTCTTATCCTTCCACCTCAAAATCATGAATATTTACCAAAACCTGGCAGAAAATGTTAATTCAAACCCTCTTCGTCCATTCTAGACCAAAAAATCAACAAAAATGGGCATGCAAAAGGGGAGAAAAGAGAGAGAGAGAGAGAATTGCTATAAATAGACGAACTACGGGTACCGAGATGGTGAAATTTAATGGTGGTCTGCCTCCTATATGGTTTGAAGACTAAAGGGAGATAATTAACCTTAAATGGACTCAGACTAGCAATTATTTGCCCATTGACTTCAATGTTAAATGGCTGTAACATCACAGGCTGTAGCTTTTTTCTCAACATTCCGTTGGTTCCAATCTTTATAGGCACAATGGGGACAACATTTGGCAATCTCCTCATCATAATTTTGTAGGGGGTTGACCATTTAGATTTTTTGCTACACGGATTTGAAGTTGACTGGGGTGAAAATCTCACTTCCGACACAATGACTGCTCTGCAGAAAGACACTTTACACCCCCTATCCCTCCGCTGTAATATCATCAGTATTACCCAAAACTGCTATGAAATTGCAAATTTGATCCCTTTTCTCCAATTCTAGACCAAAAAGTCAACCCAAAAATGCAGGAAGAGGGGAGAAAAAAATTAAGGGAAAAATTGTCTATTTATAACTCGCACTACATTAGTCCATCATGAAATAAAGGGAAATAATTACTAGTCTTAGTCCAAATAATTCAAATAACTTAATTACAAAATATCTATAAACTTGACTAAAATATACGTAGGCCTACCCCAAACATCTGCACAGATAGCTATCTTTGTAGATTAAAAAGTTCGCACACGCAATTCACGTTTTAAGTTGATTGATTCTACCGCTGAAGACGAATTTCCACCAATAATTATCCACCATAAGCTGCTTGACACCGACGGATGTTCTCTTCAGCAAACTTATCGGGCTCCAATGTTATAGAGGGGGTCTGGGGGTCGTTTCAACAAACAATCCAGATTGGGTTCAATACTTTATTATTGTATCAACCAGGCAAGTAATAAAAACCCTGCAAATATACAATCCAAGTTTTACATCACAAAAGGAAACATCAAGATACAAACATTATAACACATCAACTATAATCATTTCTACAGCATGGACATAAATCTGTGCTACTAATTAAATTACTATTTAAATAAATAATCAACATGGTACCAGTACTTTAACTAGTCTATATCAACATTTTAAACTAACTTACCGGAAGTGGGGTTTTAAATGCTTAGATTAGCTAAATGTAATCAACTTAACAACCTGAAATAGGATGAAATGTATATATATATAATGTGTGAATGCATATATCGTGTATGCAACTTAACTTTATAAACTTTATCCATAAAAACTAACTTCAATATTAAAATATAGAACTACAGAGCTAAACTTATACAGCTTATATAACCAGTAAAACATAATACAACATACTTGGTAAATCACTATAATTCTTCACCAAAACTTCTAGAACCAACCACCAAAATTCTAAACTTATACACAATACTTTCTATGGCACCTCTTTGAAACAAAGATAGCTAGCAACTGAATGTAGCTACCAACAAAATGAAAATCAGATCACATGACCAAAAACAATGAAACTAAGTTAAAAGTACTCACCATTGCTAAAGCAACAACAGCTTACAGAAGTTGACTTATGAAGTTTAGAATATTAAAGTGGGGGTTTAAAGGTGCTCACTAACATGTGCTATACTAAAAACATTTAAAGTTAATATATACAAAAACTGTAAAATAGTTTTTTCTATTTTACCACCTGTAACATAAATACACACACAGGGCCTTTATTTGGCCTGTGGAGATATCAAAATAGTAATTCTTTACAATATAATGTATTATACATTTAAAATAAATTAGTTTTGTGGGAGGAATCGGGGGTTTTCGAAGTGAATTCCGGTGAATTCCGGTGATTATATGTGAATTCCGGTGTATTCCGGTGATTAGTCAGTCCCACTTGGAGTTCTAAGGCGTCCGCATAAACTAACTAAGTAATTATCTTGATAACATGTAGAAAAAACTGTGGCCGACTCACTGGCCGACTATGCTTTATCAGCCACGGCGGAGGGATCCAGTCAGTGTGATTGGGCACTCGGCAAACCTCGACAGATTCCGGTACCCTACCGAGTCTGTTGAGGTTTGCCGAGTGTGTGATTGGGCATAGCCTCGCCAATCCAGGCGGAATACCGGAAATTACGGTCAAACCACAACATTACTCCAATTACCCCTAAGTACCACTAGAATTTCCAGTCAACAAACTCGGTCGATGGTTGGGCTAAAATTTGGGAATAGTTTGTTTGACTGAAATAAAAAACGCACTAACTCAAATATGATTACATCGTTTTTTGTCTATTTTGATTATTTTCCCCCAAGTTCAAATCTGACAGTTGAAGTCACAACTTTATTGAGATTTTCCTTCCAATAGCAATCCCCTAAACAACGTGTTGACCTCTCTTTGCGAGTAAGGTCGTCATCTAGGGTTAAGGGTCAACGACTGACGTCATCAACTGAAAACAATGGCCGTACTAATATAAACAACTTGAATTAAGTCTGTGTCCGATGCATAAAATTGATGACAGCATAGTATCTAGTCGCTTCGGAATAAAAACAACCGTGTGGAGGGATTTATAGAGGAGTAGGCTACATGTTGTTATCTTAGTTACTGCCACCACTGCTTAATAAAGTCAAGCTTTACGTTTTTCCTCGTCATATTGAGCGACTGGATTATTCGACTGGATTATTCGACTGAATTATCTGCTTGATTTTTTTTTCGACCGGATTATTTGACTGTTTTTTCGGCTATCCCCGGCCCTAAATACCTATTTATCAGACTACTTTTGCCCCATTAATTGAACTTGAAACTATTTTGCAGGGGAGGGAGGTGCAAGCTCCCGGCTCTTTTACAGCTATGGCTATGGGTATGACTGAACTACTCGGTATTATCTTATTCTTAGTTCACTGCAATTCCTGCTTATTATTGAACGGCTGTTTTTAACTTCTCATCATATAACTGTCAAAAGCACATTTTGTCAACTTGATCTGGTATGAAGACCCAACTTGATCTGGGATGTGGATTTATCGACAGTGATATTCGTCTAGTTTTATTGACTGAGATATTCGACTTGTTTTATTGACTGTGATATTCGACTGGTTTTATCATGGTATTATAAGGTCCATGGTTTTATCGACTGAGGTATTTGACTTATTTTATCGACTGAGATATTCGACTTATTTTATCGGACTGGTTTTATCGACTGAATTATTTGACTCGTTTTATTGACTGAGATATTTGACTGGCTTTATCGTCTGGATGAGGCCACAATAAAATAGTTTTATTGACTGGGATATTTGACTTTTTTCGACAATAAAATCAGTCAAATAATTCAGTTGACAGAACCAGTCGAATAATTCAGCCAACAAAACCAGTCAAATAATCCAGTTGAAAAAAAACAGTCAAATAATCTAGTCAACAAAACCAGTTGAATAATCCTGGCGAAAACACAGTCAAATATCCCAGTCGATAAAACCAGTCGCTCAATATTAAGTACCGGTGGCAGTGAGCTAAGGTAATATAGAATAGCCCAATCATGGTCGTAGACAGGGGCTTCACCCCCCGCCCCTCCCAACTACTTTAAAGTCAGATTTTTCGGGCAAAAGTCTTATGATCTAGGTATTTAGTTGATACATGTACTAAACGGAGAGTAATGTTTTTGGCCCGTCATCTAAGTGAATAGAATCCTACATAGGCCTGTAGTCAGGGGCTGGGGGTATTGGACGAGTCAGGTTTTTTTTTGTGACCTCGTCAAGTCGAATATTTCAGTGTATATTTCAGTCGAAAAAAAGCAGTCGCTTGACTTGATGGTGGAGGACCATACTTTATGAATCACTAATTGGAGTGAACTAAGATAACAATAAGTAGCCTGGAGCCACGGTGGCTAAGTGAGTAAGACACTGGCTCGCTAGCCTGGAGGTTTGTTCCTGGTATTGGCCGAAAAAGTTCCTCAGGATTTTCCGGGTGGTTTCCCCCTGTCAGTGGGGCAGTCGTTTGGATGGGATGAAAAACCAAGGTCCCATGTACACATTGGCATGCATGTAAAAGATCCCCTGTATGGCATATGCCTGACTTTATTAGCTCAGTCGGTGCACAACAGTAGGATGTTAAAGCCCATTTTATTTCATTGAGTAGCCCTTTCATGCTCATAACACGGTTCCACTTTCAGGGAATGTATCTGGTCGAGTGTGTTCTCTAAGTATCGGAAATGAATACAGATTTTTCGAATAGATCTTCAACACTTTATTTCAAGAGCAAATAAATAACAGCAACAAGTAAACAACTTATATCTTCCTATAAATTGGTCCTCCAACTGGTACATAGGTTCCCTCAGCTGGTCTCTCCAACTATAATTCATCTTACATACATTTTTCTTTTTATATAAATTAGTTACTATGAAAGTATTGACATAAACATATAATTATTGAAGGATTAAGTCATTTAAACTATAGTAAAAGAAACTTAACAGACCACCCACTTTAGTTATTTAAATCGACTGACAAATTAATTGCTGTCTGCTTCTAATGACTAACCAAGTGAACCAAGATCAATAAGTAGCCTGGAACAACAGTGGCTAAGTGAGTAAGGCGCTGGTTCGCTAGCCTGGAGGTCGCGGGTTCGTTCTCGGTATTGGCGGAGACAGTTCCTCAGGATTTTATCCAGGTGGTTTCCCCTTGTCCGTAGGGCAGGACGGAGGGTGTGACAAAAACTACAGCTGTCTAGTCTTTCGGGTGGCATGAAAAACCAAGGTCCCATGTACACATTGGCGTGCATGTAAAAGATCCCTTGGCAGTTGGAATTCAATATATAAGAGTAGGCTGTAGCGCTACTGTCGGGGCAAAATTTCCCTTGTAGCACACTGTATGGCATATGCCCATCTTCATTAGCCTAGTTGGTGCACAACAGAAGGATGTTAAACCCCATTTCACTTCATTATGTAGCGGGAGTGATTAAGTGGGTAAGACGCCGGCTCGCTAGTCTGGAGGTTACATGTAGGTGTTCGATCCCTGCATTGCCCGAAAGAGTTCATCCAGATTGTCCGGTGTGATTCCCCTTTGTCAGTGATGCAGGACAGAGGGCCTGACAAGGTTAGCTGTGTAGTCATTCGGATGGGATGACAAAACGAGGTCCTGTGTACACATTGGAATAAACGTAAAAGATTCCTTGACAGGTGGAATTCGATATAAGAGTAGGCTGTAGTGCACTGTCCAGACAAAATTTCCCTCATGGCACACTGTATGGCGTATGCCCGTCTTCATTAGCCCAACAGTAGGACGTTAAACTCCATTTCATTTCATATTATTAAGTAGCCCTTTCATGCTCATAACATAGTTCGACTTTCAGGGAATGTATCGCGTGGAGTGTGTTCTCTAAGTATTGGAAATGACTACAGATTCTTTGAATAGATCTTCAACACTTTATTTCAGGAGCAAATAAATAACAGCAACAAGTAAACAACTTATAACTTATAACTTCCTATAAATCAGTCCTGCAACTAAGTTGGTCTCTCCAACTACTGTATAATTCATCCTACATACACTTGTCTTTTTATATAAATTAGTTACTATGAAAGTGTTGAAATAAGCATATAATTATTGAAGGATTAAGTCTTAAGCCATTTAAAACAATAGTTAAAGAAACTGAAGAGATCAAACACTCTAGTTGCCAGCCTGTCATAATTTATATGGAGTGACAAATTAATTGTTGTCTGCTTCTAATGACTAACCAAGCATTAATGAATGTTAAAATATAGATTTGAAATTAAAAATAGAATTAAACAATAATAAAATAACATATGACCTATACATTAGTCATGTGTATCCACCTTAAAATTATTTCAAACAAAAACATGACCCCATGTTTTAATCATTAATACAATCAAAATCCTTATTTTTCCATTATTCAAAATAACATAATCTATAACTATTTTCACGATAATAATTTCTATTCCTGTACAAAGGATTCCTGCTGTAAGGCCTAACATGTCTAAATCTGTGATCTTGAGTCTTGACGGCTGGTGCATTTGGCACTAAAACTTGAAACATCTCGCATGGCTGCAACCTTTATCATGGCAATTGGCAGGATGACACCATTAACACAAGGTTATTAAAAAAAGATACATCGTTAGTATCCAGAACATTTTGAACACCCGCATCCTTTTTACTGGAGGTCACAGAAACCTGTACTTTTTGGGCACCCTTTGCAAAAAATTCCAGCTGTCGCTGTCTATCCCTTTGTATTTGGACAAAAGAACGATATTTCTTTTCCGGACTGGGTAATTAATTTTCTGAGAAGTCCCTTTTAAAGCCCATTTAAACCCCTGTTTGAGACTCCAAGACACTGATAGTTGATCAAGATTTCTTATTGCTGCTACTGCTGCTGAAGGAAGAATAAAGTTGATATCCATGCCTTCTTCTTCAATATATTATGTACAATTTGACTAGCAGGGAATGTAGCTCTTCGACGTGTGTTCTGTTAGGATCAGAAATGAATACAGATTCTTGGACTGGATCTTCAACACTTTATTTCAGGAGCAAATAGTGCCTACATAACAGCAACAATTAAACAACTTATAACTTCCTATAAATCGGATCCCCAATTACATGTAGTATATAGGTTTCCTAGGTCTCTCCAAGTAATGATTCATCTTACATAAATCTGACATTTTAACGTGGCCTCGTCCAGACGATAAAATCCCACACATATCTCAGTCGATAAAATCAGTCAAATACTTCAGTCGATGAAACCAGTCGGAAAAACAGCCCATTGAGTAGCTCAATGTTCGTTGCCATAGCTGTAGGAGCCGAGGGCTTGGGCGGGGTTTGGTCCTCACCCGTCGCAGGAGATAATTGTACTTAAGTAGATACTAATATTGTCGGCCCCCACCTCGAAAAGAATAGTCCCTATATATGACCATAGAAACGGGGTGTTGGTGGAATGGGAGGGGCCCTGTGCGTGGGAGCGAAAATACTAGTATCTAAAGTACA